GATGCCAACAACAGTCTAAGTCATAAAAGGGTCATCATGCAGTATTCTATAATATGCAAACTTATATCACTAAAAGATTATACTGACTACTAAGTACAATTTTATATTGACAGAAGGCTATCGAAGTAAAGTATAGTGACAACACTGACATACTTACTAACTTATCTGATGATCATTAGTTACTTGTATTAACACTTACGTGTCTCTCTGTTTTCCTCCTGTCTGCCTCAGTTGAGCCCAATGCAGCAGCAGCTGTTTCTCCAGCAGGCCCAAGTGCAGCTCCTGGCTGCTGCCGTGCAGCATTCTGCCAACCAGCAGAACAGCACCACCGGGGACAACATCTCAGCCTCTGCAGCCACACCAATTACCCAGCTGCCCCTGTCACAGCCCATCCAGATTGCCCCTGTAAGGCTCAATCCCCTATGCGCCAGAGTTCCTGCAAGCTCTGAAAAATGTTGTACCATAAAGTGCTTGCAAGCTTGTAGCTCTACACAATACACACAAAAAAGTAAAGCTGAACATCTTTCCACATACAAACAATAGACATGAAAAGTCTGTGGTGAAATTAAATATCACTATTGTTTTTTCAAACGGTATGAAGGCCATATTGGATTATTTGAAAATGCCTTTCTGGGAGCATACAAGGCAGCTAAAGAATGAGGAAAACATGCAAATGACCTAAATGACTCGAGCTTTCTCTCTTAGACAAAATGAACTGTTACAAACAAAATAGTCCTCAACATCTGTGATAATGGCTTTGGCAAGGACGTTTATTCATCAAAGTAGTTGAGAATAGACACACTTTAATAATGGAAATTCTACACTTATAAATATATGGAGACACATTACACATAGCTTAATACATATTTGTTTGCTACCCTGTCAGAGCAATTGAAAAGTAGAGGTTGTACCAAATTACACATGATTAGAATAAATGTAGACATTGTGGGACAATTTTACATGAAACAAAGTTGTGTCAAAGTCTTTAGGATTGTGAGCTTTATAAACAATTAGATGGTTGTTTTCATATTTTTTGCAGTCTTTACAACAGCAGAATCTAAGTCTGCCCCAGTTTGTCCTGGTTCAGCCTGGCCACCCTATCGCCACGTCACTGCAGCCGCAGTTCATTATCTCACAGGCTCCGCAGGCCCAGCAGGGTAGGTTGATCTGTTGCGCTGCAGAATTACAAGGAGAGATGTACTCCAAGTATGGGTATCGAAGATTGTTTAATCTTTCCTTTCCATCCATCATCCCCACTTCAGGCATATTGCAAGCCCCGAGTCTTCTAACTCAACTACCTCAAAGCCAACCTAACCTCCTGTCGACTCAACCAAGCATCACCCTTGCAACTCAGGTTGGTAATGATGCAAGTACATCTTTTAAACTAGCTTTAAAATAATCTTCAGCTACACTGGTAGTGCTTGCATTTGACAGCTTTACACGTTTTTTTTAAATGATTTATTCTCAATAATTTATTCTTTAACTATTTTTAAACCTACAAAACAGTCACATTTGCTATATTTCTCATCTTTCCAGCCTGCAACCCCAACCCGCACAACGGCAACCACACCTATTCAGTCCCTGCCACACAGTCAGACGCCACCCAAACGGTTGGATACTCCCACTCTGGAGGAACCTAGTGACCTTGAGGAGCTGGAGCAGTTTGCCAAGACTTTTAAACAGAGACGTATCAAACTGGGCTTTACGCAGGTGTGTGCTGAGAGTCAGTAGATCACCATAAGTTCAGTTATATTTTGACTTGCAGATGTGGGCATTTCTTTAAACTGCAAACACATGGCTGTTTTCATATTCAGATCTTTGTTCATGTAATATTATACCACAATAAATAACTCACAGGTAAATCTCTCCTTCTGACAGGGGGACGTTGGCCTGGCCATGGGGAAGCTGTATGGAAACGACTTTAGCCAAACTACTATTTCTCGCTTTGAGGCCTTGAATCTGAGCTTTAAAAACATGTGCAAACTCAAGCCATTGCTGGAGAAGTGGCTCAATGATGCAGGTTTGTCTCTGACCCCACCTGACTGTGCAGCTGATCACTCTCGTTTTCTCACATTGGTGCTTGTGGGTGGGTTGTGTATGCATACCTTGTCTTTACCTCCCTTCCTTTTCTTTGTGTCAATGCTGTTTGTGCAGAGAACCTGACATCTGACCAGTCCCTGTCGAGCCCCAGTGCCCTGGGTTCCCAGGGCATGGGCATAGAGGGAATCAACCGCAGACGGAAGAAAAGAACCAGTATCGAGACCAACATTCGAGTGGCCTTAGAAAAGAGCTTTCTGGAGGTGAGAAACACACACTTCGGAACTCCATATTGATTATATAAGGAAAAGTTTGGTTATTTAGTAAAGTATCTGAGATGATCACATTATACACTTTTAGTCCTCCCTTAAAGGTAGAAAAAACACAGTACAGCAGTTTCCTCAGTGCTGACAGGGAATCCCTGGCTTCTTTGCCCTCTTCAAGCAGAACCAAAAACCTACCTCTGAAGAGATCACCATGATCGCTGACCAGCTCAACATGGAGAAGGAGGTGATTCGGGTCTGGTTCTGCAATCGACGACAGAAAGAGAAGAGGATTAATCCTCCCAGTAGTGGCAACAGTGGAGGAGGCAACACCCCTATCAAATCTATCTTCACCCCCAGCAGCCCTTTGGTAAGACTGCCACTCACCAAAGGGATTCTCAGCACTGTTTAATACGGTGTTTAAAGTTTGTGTCTATTTGTGGATCACGTTAGGAGACTTAACGTAAAATATGGATGATGCATCTGGGTCTGAAATGTGAAGTCATTGTAGAAGTACCATAAGATTTCATCCTGTCTCTTGTCCTCTGTAGAACTTCAGTAAATATTTGTCTAATAAGTTTATTCTTATAACTTATTTATTCCCTAGATTTACATCATGCATAACACAAAATAGTGTCCATATTGCAAATTTTAGACCCATTTGTAGTTAGAAAAAGCAGTATGATTTTTAGAATTGTCCTGTTTCTCTGATCCACCTTTTGTTAAATCTAATTTTGGGATCATTAATCTTTTTATATGTACTGTCTCTGATTACATGGCAAGTCCTTATATGTTCTGTGGGCTCAGCTAGAATATCAGAATGTCGACCGATTTGTGTTTCGACTTGTATTTAAATCCTCCAATTCTCCTTCTTTTGCCCAGGTGGCCAGCACAGCAAGCCTTGATAGCAGCCCAACTATTACCACACCCACCACTCTGACTGTAAACCCAGTGATGCCTCTCACCAACACCAGCATCCCCAATTTGTCTTTCACAGGTGTGTGCGTGCACTATTCACTTTGTGCATGTGTGTGTATACCCGATGGTAAATGTTGATTAAAAATTCACTTTAATTTCTTTTTATCTGCCTTTAACAAGGCACGACAGTTGGAGCCACAAACACTGCATCTGTCATCTCAACTGCGCCTGTGGTTACCACAGCAACAAGCTCTCTGTCTTTAAGCACGTCCCAGACGAGTAATCAGTCCACGAGCACGGAGAGCAAAGCTGGCACGCAGGCGCCAACCATTGTCACCCAGGCGCCTTCATCCATTGCTACCAGTTTAGGGACGGGTCAGGTGATGGTGGCAGCTCCTGGGCTTTCTGCCGCGTTGCAGGGGGCCGCCACGCTACCCAGCGCCAGTTTTGCAGCTATGGCTGCTGCTGCGGGGCTCAACCCAGCACTGATGGCATCTTCGCAGTTTACTCAAGGGTTAGCATGAGCCGTGTTCATATAAGATCTTTGTGAAAGCCAGACAGTTGTTGAGGTGTTGTTTTTTTTTTTTTTTTTATACTACATGATCTTCTTTGTGTGTCCAGGGGTGCCCTCCTCAGTCTGGCTCCTGGCGGCCTGGGAAGTGCACTGAGCCCTGCTCTCATGAGCAACAGCACTCTGGCTACCATTCAAGGTGGGCACCTGTTACATGACAAGTCATTGAATTATGTCTGTGCACATAGTTTCTAATCAGAATTGCAAGTAGTTATATGATTATGGGGTTCCAGGACCTGCAGATAAGGACTGGTTTTTGTAATGTACAACCCCAGATCCAAAAATATTGGGGAGCTTTGTAAAATGTAAATTAAAACAGAATACAATGATTTACAAATCTCATCAACTCTTCAGTCAACGCTGCGAGGAGTACTGACGGCTGGTTCAGTCACACTCCCAGGACTCCTACTTGACAAAGTTTCATTTTCTGACTATTGTTCTTCTTTTAACTATAGTCAGTAAACATCTGGGAATTGAGAACAGTTGCTAGCTGCTTAGAAGTCCCTGGGTCATCGTGGTTATATTTTTGTTTTTGTTGTGATTTCAAGATGTTTGCAATTGGGGTTTGTGGATGATTGTGGTGCCAGCTTAATTTAAATAACTTTATTGTGTTAAGTCATTTGTTTATTTAAATATCAGTTTGAGGTCATTGAGGGTGTGACAGGAAGTTATGACAAAGCAATGTTCACAAACTGTCAGAAGTTTATTTCTTTTGTTTCTTTTTAAATTGCAATAGTTTAAAATTTATATTATTTTGTTTTCCTTAACAAATATTTTCAGCTTGGGGGAACGTCCTAACGCCAAACGACCAAATTAGACTAAATTTAGCAGAAGGAATGACTCGATGAATACAATAGCTAAATAAGTTGGAGTATATAAATGATTGAAAGGATGATTAGAAAAAATAAGGGCAATAAGACAGCCCATTATTTCTATAATTAGTGTAATGAAAGCAAACACTTAATGAGGACATGACTCATTTGCATAATAAGAACAGATTCATTTAAGCCACACCCACAAGGTTTTATCCTGCTGAGAGAAAATTACTTCTGCGAGTTAAACAATTTATCGTGCAGTCTCAAAAAAATGATGATGGAAATGCTCTCCTCATTTGGTGAACCTGTGCACCTTTCTTACCTTTACACCGTTTCTTTCACATCTCCATAGCACTGGCATCGAGCGGCACAATCCCCATCACCTCTCTGGACGGCAGTAACCTGCTGTTTGCCAACACTTCTGCTGGTAACACCCCCAACCTGGTGACCACGCCGCTCTTCCTGAACCCCCAGAACCTGTCGCTGCTCACCAGCAACCCCGTCAGCCTGGTGTCGCCCGGCGTGGGAGGGCTTCAGGTCACTGCCGACGGTCATCATCAAGTCAGCACAGCTGCTGTGCCTGTGCAAGCCTCGACCATTACCACTGCCCCCAAGGCTCAGTGAAGCCAGTCAGGCTGCATCTCGAATTAACGCCCAATTACTTACGTCAAGCACTACTCCTTTCACACCGTGTAGGACGAGGGTGGTACTCTGATATAGGCTCTGCGCTTCACTAACCACCCTGCATCCTCTCCATTGTATCTACCATAAATTAATCCTTTTGCTGCCGCCAAAAAGAAAAGGACTTAACATAAGGGTGGGTTTAACTGTTGGTTTCTTTTATTATTTTTTTTCTTTCTTTATGATTCTTGGATGTTTTTTAATTTTCCACACAAACAGTAACCAGATGGACACTGTTGTCTGCCTGCCGCTTCTCCTGAACCTTGACAAGTGTCCAGGGAGAAAATATCCTCGGCGTCATCGAGCTGTATATACATATACATATATACATATATATATATATCCTCCTCTTTGCAGGTCAGAATTTTCTCTGAAATTCTTCTAACCAAAAACAAACTTTTCTCTTCTAACATTCAAACTTAATTGATTTACTACTAATTTCACAATGTTCATAATCACTAATGAGGGTTTGTGTGTCGCTCTTTTTAATTATCTCTCGTTTTTGTTTTTTGGGGTTTTTTTTGTTTGTTTGGTTTTTTGTTTCTTGACAGGCCTTGTTGTAAATCATATCAAATTATATTTTAGAGACTTTTTTTCCCTTTTTATCTTTTACTGTCTATATTTTTTTGACATTTTCTGATCTTTGTAAGTCTAATGTTAAGTTAAGATTTAACTATCACTTTTTAATCGTGGTTATAAGGCTTTAAAAATAAGTAATAAGTGGCCGATATAAAGGTTATCATTGCTTTAAGGGTCGGAGGGACGCGGCGTGTCTCTCCGAGTCTCTTTTCTGGAAACACTGAGTTTTACATAGGTGGTGGTGCAGTAGCCACCGAGCCTCTGTAAAACGACGGTCTCGGTGTGGATTATCGACACTGATAGAAAAATGACTGAAAACATTACATTGAGAGCTTTAAAGTGAGCTGCAGACCTGAGTCTGATTAAGGGTGACTTGTTTTGGTTTGTGATCCGTTGGAACACTGTACATTAGGTTTTGGACGTGGACGTTTGCGTGTCGTCGACAGCTCAGGCAGACGCTGAGAGTTCAGCAGCCGCACGATCCACGAGGCTCTGCAGTCTTTTTTTTTTTTTTTTTTTTTTTTTTGTGGAGGGAACTAGTCATGTTCACCAAACCTGAACTGTGGTGTGGTGGCTTTGCCTAGATGGGGATAGAGTATTGGGGGGGTGTTTGGTTTCCTTTTTTTTTTTTATTAGAAGTACCGTCGTATCTACTTGTGCACAGTATCTGTACCAAATAACTGGATTGATGAGCTGCAGTCTGCCTGTTTTGGGAGGATTGAAATTCTGTCTCTTTATTTTGTCTGCAGTCGTTCGACTGGCTTACCTACTTTAAGATATACCAAAAATATTTGTTAAAGTAATTGCTGTGTGTAGTCAGTGTAGCTTAGTCTAGTCAATATATTTATGAGTACAAAAATCTCTTCATAGTCAGAATATAGAAATGCAATATTTTGATGATCATTTTCCAAAGACTACATTTTCTTTTTTCTTTTCTTTGTTATTTTGTTTGATTTGACCAAGTGTCTCCATATTTAAATTTTTAATTGGCAGCACAACTGACCAAAAAGAGAGGGATTGGTGGGTTGGAGTATGAGGAAGTAGTTTCTTTTTACTTCTATTATTACCATTTTACTTTTTAAATTTAGTTTTTATGAAATCACCGTGGCCTCAGCCCAATGCTTAATCTGGTTTAATGCGAGCCGTTTAGTGGCGTCTTTTCCTTTCTAATCAGTTGTGGTAGCAGTTTTGGACTTTTCTGAAGCATAATGGAAAAGATCTGATTTTGGTTTTGTGCTAATATTCAGCCATAAAACAACAGCTTGAACCAAAGTTCGTTTTCTCTTAAATCTCCACAATTTATTTCTTTATTTTTCTCCCTCCTCAGTCGATACCTGATTTTCGTGATTTGGTGCTGCTGGATAAGGATCACAGAAACTTTAGCTTTAACAACTTGCTGCTGAGACTCCTGTCAGAGTTGAGCTGTCAAGACGCCTGCATGCTTTCTAATAGCTTTAAGACTACATCCTGTGAGAATCAGGGTATTGTAGTTCGCACTATCCCTGCTGGAGGGATCACTTATGTAAATCCATAAATACTTCACCTCCTCTCAGCTCCGCCGTTTCAAACCAGCATGCTAAGAAACGATATGCTGCACCCAAAATCTGTCTGGGGACTAGTTTAAAAACTCCCCAAACTTATCTTAGCCAACACAGCGGTGGGATAAGTACCGTTCTGTGCTGCACGTTCAGCTAAACCCCACACAAAAGTAGCATTGTTCTGCTTCAAAATGACAAACACAGCAATTAGTAACTCACTCAGACTGGAAGCAGTGAAATTTGTCCCCGTTCCCCTCTCGTGTGCTTCTTTTCTGTTGAATTATTTTTGACTAAATATACCTCAGCAGCGCTTCAAACATAGGTTCACCTTTTAGACATTTCTCTGTATACAGCATTGTAGAATGTATAATTACTGACTGGCTTGCCATTCAGCGTTTATACTGATGAACCATACATAGGAACCATTGCAAGGACAACCTACTACTGCTATTTTCTAGTACTACTATTTATGGGGTATTTCCAGGTTTAAATATTATTTTGAGATCCTTCTTGCCAAAGTAAAAGCCTTTCTCTTTGCAGCTTGGTGGGTGTGTTTTGTTTTTCTTTCTTTCCTTAACTTTGAGGCCACAAGAGCCCTCAAGAACTCAGTCGTGTTTCAGTGCTTGTTTGGCGTTTTGGAGGTTTGCAAGCTACATGAACCAGTTGCCACTGGCACCATAGGATGTTACTGAAATATTTATCTGAGGAAAGACTTAAGAATTGGAGAAACGATCTTTTCTTAATTCTATACATATAAATATATATATAAACACTTGTAAGATATTCATATTTTATATTTGAACCAGTATGTTACCAAGACTGAATGTAGTGTTTATCATACTTACTTCCCCCCCAGAAAAAAAAATCTCCCCTCAGTTTTCTTTTCTTTTTTTTATTAAACTGTCAAGACCAAAAAATTTGAGATGGAGCTCGAGATGACGCCTCGCTGAGCCCCTCCTGTCGAACCAGTCTGTTCGACAGGAGGGGCTCGCTCAGGCGCTCCTGGCAGACAGGTCCTGTGGTTAATAGGAGACTCTGAAGCATTTGATCTTAATCTTTTAATAGATGTATAAATATATATATTTGGTTGAGTTGTTGTGGATTTGATTTGCTGTGCTGTCTTTAACAATCATTTGGTTTTGTTTTAATGTATTACTTTATGCCTTTAATTGTTTTGTATAGTGTGAGAGGGCAAGATCACTGGCTTTCTTAGTTTGACAAAGAAGATTAACATTATCATTTATGCCTTATTGTTACGTAGAAGACATGAGCATTGTAGCATTGTTGTTCTGTATGTGTGTGAGAGTGAGAGAGAGCATGGGCACCCAGCTCACCTGGTGCATTGTTTTCACTGAAACAGTACAGTGTACTCTGGGCATTTTAGAGCGTGGGACGATTATGTTGCTACCTATGGTTTTTAGGTGCGACTTAGACAGGTAGGAGGATATACCTGTGAGAAAAAGCTTTACTAATAATTCCAGCAGGCAGGTGTGTTTGTGTGAGTGTGTCATTTAAAGAGAGGCCAGGGAGGACAGTCTGCAAACCATTTTGGTGCATCTTTCCCATCTTCCAGCAGGTGTTTAGACTGATTTTTGAAAAAAGGGTGAGACGAGAGGACTTCTTTGTTTTGTTTTGGGGTTTTGATTGAAGTTTCCTGACTGAGGGTCTTTACAAATTAACTGCAAGCTTTAAGCAAGCCACTGCCGAGAGCCAAGCCAGCTTTCCGTTTGTTTGGGGTCAGCTTGGACTCTCACGAACTGTCTGCTTGCCACTGGCTTTGCTTGTGAAGCTTCGGCTTCAGGTGATCCTGAGATTCTTGCGGATCAGCTGTGCATCTAACAGACGGTATATTGACCCACCACACTGGTTTGCTGAGAGTTTTGGATTTTTGTTTGTTTGTTTTCTCCTTTTACTAAATGTCAAAGGTTGCGTGGCGCACCAGTAAGGCTAAAGGAGCTGTTGTATACCTCATTTTTAACTCAAGATTGAGTGAAACCTGCTTTAATCTACTTATGAAACAAATGTTTTTAAAAATCATAAAAAAAAGACTAAAATACACCAACTTGTCAGTGGAGAAGCGTGTTCATACCTGTACTTAGTGAAGGGTTTGGAGCCGCCACAAGAGGGAGACGAACTACATACCAGTACTCACAAAGAGGTGTAAACAAGAGAAGGCATAAAAGGTGAATCTGTGTGTAACAAGGGGCAAACATCTGCTGCTCTTCTTTCACAATTTCTTGTGCACTGAAGGATTTCATTCATGAAACCGTAATTCTATGGACACCCCCCACCCCACCCTTTTTTTTTTTAAGTTTGACAATCTTGCTTTATTTATTTTCTCACTCTTGGCTTGGTACAGGTATGTGCACGTCTTCCCACGTGATGGCTCGCCGTCGCAGCCCGCTCTCGCTCCCCTGTGGTACCAACGATAACCAAAGAATTCTTACTAACTTGATTGTATGTGATCGACGCCACCTCTCGCCCATCCCCGCCTCACTGCTCAACATCAAATCCCGGCTGCACGCCCCTCGATTCGTATGTAAAGAGGTTGTTTTTTTTAAAAAAATTGCATTCGAATGTGCGTCCGGCACCCCCTTCGACGCCTCTGCAGTGGTTTCAGTGCCTGTGGGCGGGGATCGGAAGGGAGGGGTAGCAGGGGCCGGGCGGGCTTCTCCGGCAGACACGAACCGATGCGGTGGTAGCTGGGTGATGTTTGTTAATACACACTGAGGGTTGATCCTGTGCACACTGTACCTGCTCAGGACTCTGTATGATTGTCTGTCTTGAGCGCTGTTGTCGTTTGGTTGGTTGGATTGATGTCCCACCCTCCGTTGTTCCTCTCTCAAGAACGGCGACGAAAAATGCTATTCCTGCCTCTCAGTGCGTCTGTCTCTTCCTCATCTGTACACTGTAGTCCCAGGACATGACCCTGTTGTTGTCTCCAGGAATACACATCCTGCGTTCGCTAAAACTCACTGCTGTGTCCCCTTCCCTGTCCTCCTCCTCTCCCTTTCATCTGCTCTCTTCTTTGACTCCTCACTACAGACTCTGATCAGCTGTGACACTATGCATCATGGTCCTTCACTTTGCATGGACTGTGTCCCTCTGACTCAGACCTTCTGGTCGGCAGGGCTTCAGTGACACTTTGTTTAATGCTTTACTCCAAGTGAGGTTGTAGGACCTCACAAGCGCTATCCCAAAGCAAAAATCCAAATATTTAACTTTTGACAAATGCAGATACCAAAGATATCTCTCTGTCCTGTGTGTCTCTGTTGGTTTCTCTCTCTCCCTTTCACCCTGCAGCATGTGTATTAAGAGACAAACCCAGCACTGGCTTTAAAGTCCCAGCCTCAGTAATTCCAAAGCTTAGATGTATATTTTGGTATATTTCTGAGAAAAAACTTGCGTGAAAAAGCGTCTGTTCCTCGTTTGTTTGTTGTAATCTCTTTTCTGTCACAGCATGGAACTAATTGCAGAACTGTCTTACTCTTGGTAGGTTAAAGATATAGTATTTTTGTATGTTTTTGGGTGTGTTATATATATGTACGTGTGTGTGTGTGATTATCAGTTCACAGCCCAAGTGACCATGGCTTTCAACAAGAGAGAAATAACTTTAAAAAAAAAAAAAATCGCCAACCATGTACATATTGTGTCTGTGTATCTCAAGAAATGCATTCTGTAAAACATTTCACTTTCGAAGCTTGGGCTCATCTAAAGGAATGTGTCCCTGTTTTATTTCCCTTTTTTTACTCTGCAGTCTGATATTAATTGACTTCCAGGACTCGAATGTAATGAGTTTTGGTTTCCATTGTGGAATACAACACTGAGGGACACTGCTCCAATCTAAATACGACAAAAAAACGACAAAAAAAAAAAGGCCTCCAGAGATGGCGGCATAGAGCTGAAAGATTGTGTAGGAGTTTTAAGTATGTGAATCAGGATACATAGTAGATTTTGATGCATTTGTCTGCTGTATTTTTGTTTTTATACACATATAAAGATAATCTTTTACTGTAAATGTACAGTTCTCTTTTGTTGTAAACATCATTAAACCATTTTCCAAGTGTTTTGACATGTGCTTTGTCTTTTATTGGGATTAAATGTACAAATTTTAATCATTATACATCAGTGCCAGGCAGATTTAGCTTTCATCTATACAACATTTAGGACAAAGATTTCAAAAATTGATTTGTTGGTACACTTTGGTTATAACGGGATGGACATGGTCAGTAACAATACTCAGTCTCTGCTGTTTAAATGATGAATGCCAAGTTGATGCAAATGTGCCAAGAAGTAGTCCCATACAACATATTTAACCTACCATCTGAAATTGTAACAGACTCCTAAGACCAAGAAGTGGTCTTAGGAGCAGCAGAAGACCGGTGTGGTCTTCTGTTGCTGTAGCCCATTTGTTTCAAGAGTCTTTGTTCAGAGATGCTCTTCTGCATACTTAAATTGTGTAACAAGTGTTTATTTGAGTTACCGCTTGCTTCCTATCCGCTCACTGGATATTTTCTTTTTCATCTCTGTAAACCCTAGAGATGTATCTGTGAGAGAATCCCAATACATGAGCATTTTCTAAAAACATAATTCAAGCAGCCAAGTATTATAAATAATATAAGTCACACTGATCTGCTGCAATATAAATCCACCGGCTTTGGCAGGTCATAGTAAGGGGATGTCCAGTCATCTCTGGCTTCAGTATGTTGCAGATTCTTTTGGCGCTGTGGGCTGCAAGGGGGAGCTTACATGGCTCAAACTTGTTTTGCTAACACGGGAATAGTTGAGCTGATTCAGGTTTGATTCGGATTCAGACTGCAGTTGGACTGACAGAGGGGTGGGCGGCACTTAGACAACAACAATATAAAGTTCTATATTTACAATATACAGTCTATGGTCAGAGTCCAGCAGAAAGTTGCATTTTAAGAAGACGGTTGATGATATTCCCTTTATCTGTCTGCTGGTTTTACTGTTGTTGATAATAACTGTTTAGCATTATCAGCTGCTGTGCAAGTACAACCTTAAAGATGTAAAAATGGTTACATCAAATATCTGAACTCATAAAGAGTTTGTTTTTAGCCTTAATGTAGGGTTCTTTGTTAGTTTTTATTTGTATAACATGAGAGAAAAGCTTATCACAACATAACACAAATACAAAGTGACTTTTTTCTCTGACTAGACATATTTAATTTAGAAGCAAATCCTCATATCTGAGAAGCTGAAGCCACAAATTTTTTATTAATTTTTTTGTTAGTTTAATAAATGACTCGAATTGTGTTTAGTAACACTATTGCTGATACTGTAGGATGTCAGTGGGGAGACAGAGGAGGAACAGGACGAGGAGATGAGGTACTGGGAATCAAAGACTCAAGGGGGTCCCTCGCCATCTGCAGTAAAGAGGTGAGAAAAGGTTAAAGCACCACGCTGATGGCACCTTCAGTTCTCCTAACCAAGAAGAGTCTGCACAATTTAATCCATACGCTGTGCAGATCAGTGATTCAACATGTAAACTCAGGCAGTTTATCATCACGACGTCAGTAGGATGCTTTGATTACATGGTGTCTCCATATCAGGGGCGCCGCCAGAGGGGGCCACACCCCAAAATTTGTTGGCTCTCTCTTTTTTTGTGATTGTTAGTGTTCCTCTTATTAACAACACAAATATTTTAGAAATCTGTCAGAAATCCATCAAGAATTTTGAATTCAACCTCTAAAACCAACTGTTCTGTCCAGTAATGCAAGTAAATAACTATTTAAATTTTTTCCCTGCTTTTTTGTGCAATAGTAAATTTGAAAATTCATTTACAACAATCATAATCATACTTTAATCAAAATTATATTTTTAATGCTAAAGTGCTTGTGCAAATTAATTGATTAACCATTACAGAAACATAAAATATGATTTTTGGTAATTACCTATACTTTTATGCCACAGCTGCTGTAAATTAAACCTTACACTGGGTGGTGGTCTAATACATTTGTTTTCACTTCAGATCCTTCCAACATTTCTGTTTCAAATGACCCTTTCTCTCTTTTTTTTCTATTTTTTAAAGTTTCAGCATCCTGGTCTTGCAGCAAACTTGTCAGGACTTGAGCAATACAGGTTATTGATACTGATGTTTTTAGCAACACCTGTGTGTTTTTCCTGCTCTGGCAAGTTCAAACATCTGCTGTTTAAATGCCTACAGGGCCCTCAGCATTGTTTCTCTTCCGCATAGAAACTGAAATTTTTGCAAGACTCTAGGAACCATGGGGATATGAAATAAAGCAGAGCGACAACAGCACTACTCTGAGGACAGATGCTTTACTGGTTAAATACTTCTGTCAAACCCTGTAAGTAAACAAACTTTCTTACCTCAGGTTTCCTTTTCTTGCCTGCTTTTTTCTACAATATGCAAAAACAAAACGAGAATAAAGGCACCAGAAAATGTGAGAATGTGACCATTAAAAAGTTTATCAACAAATGAAGTGTCCCAAACCTTTCTTTTTGATGGGTCAAGCACCTCATAAGGATCAGCATCTTTTGGTCTCTCAAGTTCCTGGACATAAATAAAAACAAATAACAATAATAATACAAAATTATACAATCCAATCTGTAGAGTCAAACATGATCAGGTCACAGAGCGGTTGGAACTGTAGGTGAAGCTGTCCTTACCTGATAAATGCCATTTTCTTCCTGTTATTCAGCAAGAAGAGCACAAACATGAAGTGAAGCTTGAATGCACACACATCCTCACACACATTTATTTAATATCATTTAAGCAACAGTTGAGAAATATTCACCACCAGCAGCAACTGTAAAGCATAAAGACACCGAAGAAAATGAAGACTTACAGTGACTCCCACAGATGGGCCTTTGGAAAACTATAGAGAGAAGCAAAAAGGACAAAAAAGGACAAATAAAATGTAGCACAGATTGATGTGATATAATAAGTCGGTTTGGCCTATCAGTGGCGATTAAAAAGACAAGAAATTCAGGCTGTTTATGTGCTGTAATTTCTTCAAATTGTGACTGAGGCAATCTGTTAAGAAAAAAAACCTCACATTTAGTGAGATAAATGCTGTTAAAACTTCTAAAACATCTTTTCCGGGGTGAAGATTAGTTATTTTATATCGCTGTTAAAAATCTGAAACGGATATATTTGAAAAATTGTATTCACTAAGTTACTTATCAGAAGAATTTGTCAGATTAGAGAAGTGTTGCACGGTTGGCCCTACAACACAAATGATTTGCACTTTGAAGTCATTTAGTTAATTAATTGACTATTAGGCTGCTACAAAGTCACTTTAAACGAAACTATCAAAGTATTAAATATCGTTACGTTTAGTTCTTCTTTTTATTTATGCACAAAAACACTTATTTCACAGGAGAGAAGATATTAAATATTGACTAAAAATAAAGTAGTGTTTATTTTTAGTCTAAATTTTAAGTTTAGACCCACCAGACCAATAATGTGCATGTTAGGGTTGTTTTGCATGACGGGTCAAGACGGGAAAATTTCTACCTCGTCAAACTTCAAGGAGCTCTTGAGATGTCCTTTGTATTTTATGAAAAGGATGATTCGGGGGAAACGACAGCACTCTTTATCCTGTTTTAAGAACTCTACACACACCACAAGCAGCTGACCTTTACGCCCTGCTAATCTGCTAAGTAAAGCCATACAAATATTTTAATGGTGGAGATGCAGTACTGTAAACTATTTTAAAGACAAAACCAACATATGAGTTTTAAACAAAAGGTTCTCAAATCCGAATATTTGTATTATCTAAAGACGTCACAGAATTGAAACTGTTTGTTAAACAGGTTTTTTAAAAAAGTGATGTGACCGGTTTTAACGTTTTTCTTGCTTTAGACCAACAGGTGATTTTAGGTGAGCTAATTAGTATTTCTGCATACCACACATCCTCTTTATATGCTTTCTGAAGCTAATAATAGGATGCAAGATAACACTGAGATGTGTCCTTTCCTCTGGACTGTTTTTAATGAAATATTACAGAAGAATAGCTAATTGCTCAACTTTCTGTGTGTGAAAATAACTGACACATACGAATAAATCAAGACATTGATGTACAAGCTGAATAACAGTGGCCCCGGTGTTGATCCTTGCGGGACTCCAGTGTTGTAAGCACTTGATTACAGCAGCACATTACTGATCCAAACACACTGGTTACAATCTGACAGAATTTTTCACAAACTTTACAGAGTAAAGAGTGGATCAAGTTCTGGATTGATATTCAGTCCCATGATGTTTTTCTACATGCGCTGTAACCACCAACTTCTACATGGGCTGCTATAACTCACCTTTTCTCTAAAGAAGAACCCTGTGACAATGATGCAATAAATGATCAGAAATCCATCCAGGAAATAGCAGATGACTGGTTCAGTGAAAAAATTATCTGCAGAGCAAACAGAGAGAGAGAAAAAAGAACATTTTCAGCTGATGTTCGGACTAAATAACAAGATACTTATAGCGAAACGTGACTGAGTTCTGGGAAGAGAAGAACATATTTCAGTGAAAAGGGAAATTTTCATCATTTAATTCTGCTCAGCAGAAAACCTCACGTTACAGGAGCACAAAGGCCAAATAATATGACATTGGAGTAGAAAAAGAAGATTTTACGTGAAATAAAAACAGAATATGATTGCATCTAAAGCCATGTAGTGCTCTGTGCGGAAATATCTCCTATTTGATAAAAGATCATATGTCTTCCAGATAGCGGTGTATAAGAGATAAGAGTTACACACAGCACTGAGGAAACTACCGATACTGATCAGATTTTTATTTGCAGTAAATCTGCATTCTTACATCATGCGTTATGGTTCTGTTGTCTACAGAAGCTCATCTTTCTGCCACTTCTCAAGTCCTGCTGAAGTCACCCTGGATTTTGTCGGCATAAAGTTTTAATCCCTCGAAGCAACTGTTTCTGTTTCCTTGAGTAATTTTTGTTCAGTGTACATATTACATCACTGTTCACTAAAACTGTAGGTTGTTTATTATGCCTTGAAATTATGCCTTGTTTTTTCATGTAAAAGATGCCCAGTTACTGTTTTCTTTTTGTAAAAAAAATCCCT